AAATAAAAGCTTCTAAAGATACTAACTGGTGAAAAGCACAATGTTGAGAAACATATCCGATTTCTGTTACGGCTAAATATGTTTTAGTAATAATAATTTAAAAAAAACCTAATTTACATATCCTATATGTTCTTTCACTCATTGATTTTGAAAGCTTGGATGATCCTAGCAGAGCAGAGACATTAGAGACATGGTGTGTTAAAAACCAGCAGCAGGTGTACACTGGGCCTAATCCCTCATGGGCATTTCAGGCTATAGAGAGATTAACCTGAGGTGGTCCGGTTCAGCTCCTTTTAAAAAGAACAAGCCCCTAGTCTGTCTTAACTTATTACAGCAAGGTGACGACTAATGTGAAGGTCAACCATCTGGCAGAGGTCTGCAATCAACCTGCAGTCTTACCTAAAACCGAGTCATCTGTTTTTTAATCTAGTAAACCTATATAATTAATATATGGTGGTGACCAGTTCACAGATGAGCATGAACAATGCTTAAGTGTTCTGACAATATCCATGTCGTCTCATAATAAAGACCCTGTGTTTACTGTGTGATGTCTGGTAATCACAATGTATGATTGGAGCAGAGTATTAAATGGATGCCGCCTTTGGTCTGCACCAGCCGAGGCTCATCATATTGATTGTTTAAAGCTTCTAACCCAGAGCTATAGAGAGCAGATTAACAGGTTAACCTGATAGCATGGCTCAACGGTTAATGGAACATCTGAGGAAAATGGATTAAGGCTTTTTGGTCACGTTGTTACAGAATCGGCTTTGAGTGTGCGTCCTTTTTTTTTTTTCGTCTGAAACACATAAATGAAGAGGCATTTGCATTCAGTAACAATTCAGTCTAAAGGTCTTACAATGAAATCATAATTCAAGTTGAAGAACTGTAAAAGCACTACTTTTAATTGTGGTTTTCAACACATTTTCACACAGTTTGGCAATTATTGTTATTTTGCTTTATACTGAGTGAGACGATGTAGTCAAAACTGACTATTTAGAGGCTGAAACAGTCCGTATGAAATAAGTCAAACTGTGAGATTTGTGAACTTTTTCATATTTCTTCACATTGCAACCACTGATTCAACATGCTGAATAACCATATTTCGCTGTAATTACAGCTGCAAGTCTGATCTTCACCAGCTTTGCACATCTAGGAATTGAACTTTTTATCCATTCTTCTTTGTAAATTAGCTCAACTTTGATTAGATTCTGAGCATCTGTGAACAGCAATATTCAAGTCTCATTTTCTCAACCGGATTTAGGTCCAGATTTTCACTGTGCAACTCTAGCAAATAAATATGTTCTCATATGAACCTGGATGTATGATTAGAGTTATTTTGCTGCTAGAAATGTCTACATCCCTCCATGTCAAGCTTTTTGCAATCTCTACAAGGTTCTCTTGGACTGACCTGTATTTAATGCAATCCATTTTAATGATCAGGTTTGACCAGCTATTCTGTTGCTGTTGAAGAAAAGCGTCAGGATGATGCAATGTGCCACACAGAGAACTTTGAATGAAGCCCAAAGAGTTAAATTTTTTTCCAGAGCAGTTTCATTCACATATTTGCTCTGTCGTTACACCACTTGTAACAAGCTGCAAACAGAACATGTTAAGACATTAAACAATGGTTTTCTTTTGGTCTGTAGAGGCCAGGTTTGTGGAGTGAATGATTCATGGTTGTCTTCCACCTGAGTGGAGGATGTCTGCAACTCCTCCAGAGTTACCATGGACCTCTGTATTTTTATGCTCTGTGCTTTCCTTGAACAGCCTCTCAGTTTAGCTGGATATGGCACAACAGTAGGTTTGCTGTTGCAACATATTCTTTGCATGTTTCATGACGGATTGAACCACACTCTGTTTTATAACTCATCTCTGCTTCTCCGCAACTTAATCGCTAATCAGTCTGTTATTTGTCTTGTCATCGTAATGCTGTTTTTGTTATTGTCTTCTAGCTAACCTGAGTCCTTTGCACAACAGATACTTTTATTATGAGATGAAATGACATAATTATTGACTCTGTTTAGAATTTACTTCATTATTTTTCTTCAACAACATCACAGTTATACACTATGTTGTCTTTTTTTGTTTGTTTGTTTGTTTTCAAAAAATCTCAAGAGGTTTGAAGCTGGAACGTGATAAAAATGTGAAATAAAAAAAAAGGTTTTGCAAAGTACTCTAGAAGCCGCTGCGCTGTCGGGAGGTACGAATAAACGGTCCCAACCACGATTTCAACCGCCGTGTGTGTCAGATTCCTGTCTCGTTTCCTTCCGACAAAAACCCTAAAGAACACACAACGCAGAGTCCAGGGAACAGCGAGGACTCATCTCGCACGGACAGGATTACATATACAATTTGGAAAATCCAAACACTAAATATGAATCCATCCTTATTTGCAAATTGATTTATTTTTTATCATGCACTTTTTTCTGAATTTATAAATAAACGTCCTATAGTTTAAAATCAAAGACTGCAGAAGCTCCTGCTTGTACGACTCTTTCTTCTTTGGAGTCAATCTAAACTACCTTCAGATATGTTTCTGTGGCCGGTTGTCTGCTTCAAACCGTTTTGCGGCTTATACATTCACAAATTACATTAATGTCTCACAGCTTTCACAGGCTGTGAACAATGCAAAACAAAAGCACCGTGCTGGTCTCGGAACAATGTAAAGCCAATTATGAGCAGAAGAGGAGAAACAAAGACTTGATGTTTTCAATCAAGCAACAAACAGCCTTTAATTTTTGAAAAGAGGAGAAAGGCTGCATGCAACTTTCGTTTATTTTTTTCAATAAATCGTTTCCTTTGCTAAAGGACAAAGACTACTTTTGTGGAATGACTCAGTATCTTTGACATTTGCGCTCGTGTTTCGAGACAAAACTGGCTGGTATTGCTTAGTTTTCCAACATGTGTTCAAAACCAAAAGGAATTTCTTGGCTTAACACAAACCTAGCTGTGAAAAGGAGAAAAAGAGATGAAAGACAAAGATACTTTTAAGCAAAGACAAACCACTTGGCTAAAAGGGAGCTTGAGTCACATTTCATCTTTTGTGTGCCAGATTGATGGCCTGCGAGATGGATGATGTTCTGTAGTGATGTGTGGCATTGTCTTATCCTCGGCACGCACAAAGAGTCCGAACACTTATCATCTCGGGCTTATGTATGAGAGAGAGGGACAAGGAGGGGTGGAGGGTGGGGGTGGCTGAAGAGAGTCCAGGAAAAGCGGGGGGTGGCAGAGCTCCCTCTGATAAAGCTTGATGGAGACGGGCTACTGACAAGAGGAGGCAGATGGAGAGAGTCATCTCCCATGACAACGCCTGCAAGTAACAGCCAAAAAGATGGGGGGAATGGTCAAACTGGGATGGACCACCTTCATATTTTGTGTTGGTGTTTTGGTGAATGAATGCTAAAACTTGTGTCCTAAGATGATTTTTTTTTTAATGGTGACTGAATGTGATGATTTGTTGCAAAGATTTTTTATTTTATTTTTTTTTTACTTTTTTTTTGCTGGCCTGTTTTGTCTGCACTGTGACTTCTAAACAGGTGGCCTATAGGTTTGTTGAACTCAGTTTAAGATTAGTCTTTAGGACATTGTTTGGTGGGAATGGGCCTGTGAATACAAAGGGATTAGTGAACAGGGTTGCTTCACTCACTGTGAGTTTGTATTTGTGTAAAGGAGAGGGGGTGGGGGGGCAATCTGAAGTTGATGGATGGATTGATAAGCAAAATAAAACATTAACTGTGGTTATTCAAAAAAAATGCACTTCTCATTTAAATATACAAACAGAAAAAAATAAAAGGTATACAAACAAGTTGTACTTAAGTCCTAAAAGTGGGCAAAAATTAAGAAATAAAACAATAAAGAATTCTATGTGAAATGTTAACGTTTCCAGGAGGAATGTGTGAGTCTTTACTCCTTCCCACGTCCCTCTCCTTATGCACAGCAGTTTAAAGAAAGCAACCAAAATCATCTCAATGCCTTGAACCATGTGCCACCATTAGGGACACACAAAGGGAGATCTGACAAATGACCATTTTAATGCCCCCCTCTTTGACTTTAATGAATTTATACGTTATCTGGCCCTAATGGAGGCTGCGGTGGAGGGGCTGGCGCGATGCCATAACAAATGAAAAGCTCTGATTAGTGTAGAATGAGGCGAGAGAAAAAAACGCTATTCATCTTGGTTAGCATCCTCCTGTGCGCCTTTATGGGTCGCTGTTACAAGGACGGCGGTGGAGCCGGGGGTGCTCGCCCCATTAGCGGGGCAGGCCGATAAAGGGGGTCCGCTGAGTGGTCAGCCGGGGCCGGGGCGTTGACGGAGCGTCTGGCCGCTCCGCGGTTCAAGACTGTGAATACCTCAGCGCGGCTTGACTCCTGAATAACCTTCTGAGGTACCAGGAGCTTCACCCCTGCATGACCCCGCACTCTGAACAGGGGTGTGTGAGGAAGGGGTGGGGGGCTGCGGGGGGGTATCCAGACCAGGACTCACATTAACAATTAGGTAAACACAGGAGGAATCCCCTCTTAGGGAAAGACTGCAGGAGATTAAAAACAATGCTTTGCATTGAAAAAAAAATAAATCGCACGATTAATTATGCGTTGCTCCGTGTGCAATTTATTTGAAATAGACTTGCATTGCGCATCGATGAGTTCACATTAGGAAAGCCTATGGCTCAGAACAAGCAACAGCATAGCTTATACTTTAGCTAAAGCAGGCTAATCAATGTATTAGTCGGCGACATCAATGTAAAATCGTCGCCACGGTGTTGTTGGTACTGAATCTGAATCACAGCTGTTGCTTTAAAATGGGGGTTTCCTGCATTATTAATACACCTACGGAGACAGTCTATCGAAATGAGCATTTAGTTGTTAAAAAAAAAAAAAAAGTATTGCAACACATTGTCAGAGATGGTGAAATATTTCATCATGACCCGTGCTGGAGCTCCATATCGACCACTGCTGTCATTGGGAGAAGCCCTGTTCTGCCGCGCCCCCCTCCCTGGCTGGGCCCCCGCGCTGAGCTGAGCCGCCTTGCAGAGTTCAGTCGGGCTGGGAGAGAGAAAGAGAGAGAGAGAGAGAGAGAGAGAGGAATGCACTGGGATGCGGAGCGGCAACCACTGTAGGAAACCGACGCAACAACTCGCTCACTATGGACAGCAATGATCCATATTTACACCTCAGTAAGTAAAGCCTTGCGCTTTCGTCTGTGTTCCTCTCGACTCGGCTTGTTGCTTTGCGTTTTGTTTTGACTCGAGAGAATCGCTTCATGGCGTCTCCTCCGTACCGTCTGTCCAGCGAAACTGTTCGCGGACTTTAATCACCGAGTCCTGCCTGCGAACGTTAGACTAAGCTGTTGAACAGTAGTTGCAACGCCGCAGAATCCAGAGTTGTTGCCATTGCATAAAGTCAGGTGATCATGCTTGCGCCCGGTCTGGCAAGGTCAGAGGTTGGCACTTTAATTGCGCTTATGTAATTTATGGCGCTTGTCGCGCGTCTCTTGCTAAACTGTTTGAGACAGAAACACAATTTATTGGTCTGGAACGGTGGTTTGGGTCCGAAGAGGACTGCGTGCAACTGCGCGGAGGAATGTCGGCTTTCTGCAGATAAACAAACTTGGGAGTCCCTTTGAGGTAGCGGAGAGGAGCGTGCGTGCTGGACGCGCCCTGGCCAGCGCTGTGGGCTGAGGGAGCCTCTCCGGAAAACACTGTGATGTTATTTTTTTTTTTTTTTTTGCACAGTAAAGCAGCTCTCGGGGTCACCCTTTCTGACTTTGCCCTTGAACCAGCTGATGGCTTTCTCCCGTTATCCCTCGGCGACCACTTAGGCGATCAGTTTGCAACATGTGGAGTTAGTTATGGCCTACTTTGCTGAGCTCTCCCTGAACAAGATGATTGTCTTTACTGTTAAACTCCGATCTTTAATAAACGATTATTGAATCTGACTGAGTCGCCACATGCATCAGCTATCATGTGATGTTTGTTTAAACCCAGAAGTGCAGCAGTGGAAAAACAACAAGAAGAAACAAGATGATAGTAAAGCATGCAGTTAAATAAGTAGAAGTTGTATAAGAAGATGAAGAGTTTTAATTTTGTCAGGTTGCAACTACAAACATATATATATATATATTTAGATATTATCAAGAAGACGAAGATGAAATAGTCTATAAATTGTGAAAGGAATTGTGTTTGTGAGTTGCTATAACCTTTCAATGACAGCGGGGGAGTCTTTGGGAGGGCATGTCTCCACCATCTATCTGTTTACCTGTATTGAGCTGCATTTATTCTACAATTTAAACGTCCCCATGGTACCATCACCGTGCTTCTCCATGGAGATGATGTGATCTGCAGCGTTAGCATTCTGCACGTAGGCCGAAAAGTTTCCACCTCATTCGACCAGAGCCCCTTGTTGATGTTGATACTACGTGGCTTGTGGCAATCTGCTGGACTTCTTGTAAATTTCTATCAACAACCACTTTGTTCTTGCCACTCTTCCACAAGGACCTGATTTGTGTAGTGCTTGACTGAGGGTTTCCCTGTTGACAGATTATCTCTTCTGAGCTGTGGATCTTTTTAGCTCCTACCGTGTTCTCATGGGCCTCTTCGCTGCGTCCAATGGGTGCATTGGATAAAATCCCTTAAGATACATTGAAATTTGTGGTTGCAGCATGACAAAATGTGAAAAGGTTCTGAGGTTACATGCTTTTTTTTTTTTTTTAAAGCAACTGTAACTGCTGCTGTGTCCTGTTATCTCAGGACTACTTAGTGAGGCTGAAAATTGTTTCTGTAATGACGGCAGGTCCTTGGGGAATGGCAGAGACATGTGGATGGGAAAGCACGGAGAGAAGGAAACCCATGATACAGAAAGAACAGAGCAGACCCCCCTCAGGGGCTTCACTTATACGTTGTTGTAAGTTTCTGAGGAGTAAGTCCCAGGAGTCACGCACTTCAACTGTGTTTGGCTGCTCTACTTCAGATAGAGGTCCAATACATTTCTGTTTTCCCAGTTATGATTCTTCACCCAAAGGAAAATTTGTCAAGATTTGTCAATTCGGAGACTTAAATGCAGCTTTTCCCAGAAGAATTTGAATTGGAAAGTTCCCCAATCCCACAATAGTCCCAAACTGGGGTTATTTATGGATTGAAAATGTCTTCAAAATAAAATAATAAAAGTTAACTTATATTTCAAACACTACACTGTGGAGCACAGTACTCATTAAAAAACAAGAACAAAAAAAAAACAGCTGAGAGAATATTTCAAGCCTTTCTTTGTCTCTCTTTTGGCTCAGAACTATGATTTAGTACATATTTTTGCATCGACAGCCCACACACTCAGATGCATAATAGAGTCATAAATTGTGCTCATTTTTCGACGCTGTAATGGTCAGCCTTTGTAATCTGTTACAAGCATGAAGCCGAAGGCGTGTGGAGTCAAGAAACAAGCCGGTGATTATGTGGGGATTGTTTTTGTGATCTTCCTCCTCCTCCTCAGTTTTTCCCAGACATGTTATGTTTCAGCAGGTTTTCACACAGGCCTGCCCTGGGCTTTGCAGTTACAGAATCAGCATTTACCCCCCGCTTCCCTCTCTGCGTTTCAGCAATTTTAGTTTTTCGTCAGTGGAAGTGATTCTAGACAAGCTATTGAGAACCCTCTTGCTGCTTTTGTCGGTGGGAATTTATTTAGCTCGCAGATTGGGGAAGTAACAGCAGAAAGAAGAACAGGATTGGAGCAAAACAACCGGGAAATGGAGGTTGTGGAAATAGGGGTGGCGAAGGAACGAGCCATCAGAGTTGAGGTGAGCTCTCAACACTTGCCAGGGGTCGTTGATTCACCTCTTCATACACTCAAAAAAAAAAAAAAAAAAAAAAAAAGGATATACCCAATAACTTTTTCTGCGCATGCATCATATGCACATATTTCACTGAAAAAAAGAAAAAAAAGTGACGGCATCACATGACCTGAAGAATGTGGGTTGTAGTATGGGAGCTTTAATGCTTAGTCGTGCACAAATCCCGCAGAGTGAATAAACCACACAGGTAAGGTAGGTGTGGCTCTCCACGAGTGTTTGCTCAGGCACTCTATAGCTTGAGACCTGCAATTCTTCAGCGCCAACACGCGCCCTTGCAGACGATATATATACATGCAATGGGTCTTTTTTTGCTGTTGTGCTTTTCACTGGGCGTGTGCATTTGTATGTCAGTGTAAAGACTCGGATGTCTTTTTGTGCGCGTACGTGCAGATTGTGAGTTGGGAATAAGGGAAAAAAATATGGGGCGTAAGGAGGCCATTCTCTGGGCTAATTGCCAGTAATTAGTCATTAGTGAAGAAGGTCATAGCCATGATTTAATTCCAGCTTTAATCAAGCTGAGAACCTGGAAAGACCCATGGGCTGCGGGAGTATTTTGTCATGAGAGGTATTAGACTATTTCTTTGCTAATTATTGTAACAACAAACAGATCAGTGCATGGATGCAGATTGTTTTACATCTCTCTGATCTTGTGGGGGACTGAGTTTTTAATCACTGAGCAGCTGCGCAGTAGCTTGATTAATGTTTTTAAATGGTTGCAGGTGCTGATTCATAGCCCCAGCTGCTAGTCTCTGCAAATTTCTTAAGGGGGGAAATGTCAAGCAAAGACACCCAAGTGCAGAAATTCAGAGTTTGCCTGGAATTAAGGTTGGTTAAAAAAAAAAAAAAAATAGAAAAGCTGACTCTGAATTAGTAGTTTCACTATGAGTTGTAGCATGCTTGAGTAGGCTGGAAGTTTATAAAGGTAGACAAAAAAATATATATATTTTATGATGATAATGTGAGAAAGTGCGAAAACAGAAAAACCTCTCTGTTTTAGCTGTTGTAATATTATGTGATATCAGCATAGTTTTGTTTATTTATAGTCTTACTGAAAAACCCTCGTAGAAACATCCACACGCCGGCTCCAAAACTCATTTCAGGACCCGTGCAGAGAAAATACTAGAGCGGAAATGCACTGAGAAGCTCGGTGGCTTTTGTCATGTTTACAGTGTGCTGATGTTTAATTTTCGGGGTGTTGCAGAAGAAACAGGATGGCTATATTGTTTGGGAGAACGAGGCAAGGTCGCTCTCAGTCTCACCGCCACTTTCATGTACGGTATCTTGATGTAATGTCCCCCCTCTCCCATACTTCCAACAAGCATGAGCCGGCATGAGACCCTCACGGTGTGATGGCTTTAAGAAAAATGTCACAGTTTCATTACACAAACGTTTAAAACAACAATGTCTAATGTGATCTTTATTATTCTTTTATTCTTTATTACTGAAAACAGAAAAGCAGGAGTTATTACCATGACTTTAACGCCTATTAAAGTTAACAGTAGTTTCCAATTATTGGGGTGAATATTGTATATTTTGGCTGTTCTGTTTATTACACATACCTGCAAGCCTTTTAATTTAAAACGAGCTCTTTTGTTAACAAACCGCCTTTTCTTAATCCTATCCAAGTAGATTAAGCAACAAATAAAATTGTTAAGCTTTACATGTTATGACTTCATGTTCTCAAAAATTCACATCTTATGAAAGGACAAGAATATAAGGTAATGGTTTCCTCCTGAGGTTATAGAGTGTGCTGATTATAATATTTCTAACTCAGATTTAAGAATAAGGAGTGTAACCTACATTTAGTAATGCCAATTATCCTCCTCCTGTCTTTGTAATCTGTGTTACATCTCTGATTTCTAATTAGGGTTCTCAGGAGTTGATTTGACATGTTTAATGTGGGCCATGACACACTATCATAACACGGCATGCTTTAAAGAATAAAAAGATTATCGTAATTTCTTTCTGGGCAATTTTTCTTTTAAACCGTTTCTTCTTTGGCGTTCTCTCTCTTTTTCATTTGCCTCGCTGCCAAACAATTTTCCTGCCCAACTACTGTCACCGGGAGGATAAGGTTACCGGAGTCTCTCATTCAAGTGATGTGTGGTCAGTCGATCCAGTGTCCTACAGGTGTCTCGCACAAGAAAACTGTCGAGTCACGCAAAGTGAAAGAGATGCACACATATCGGGGAAAGTTTCTCGAGATTACGGAACTGCAGCTGAGTTCATAAGATGAACATTTGATTGGTGGGTAGGATAAATTGAAATCTCTGCCAGCTTCACATTTGTTGGCTTGGGCCATTTTTGTTAATCACATGACGTGCTCACATTCCAGGATAAATGAAAACTCCTCCTGGAATAGTGAACAAATGACTGATTTCTGTGCTGCTTTTGTGTTATTAAAACAAGACTCTGTTGACTTGATTCTTTAACAAGGACCATATTGTATACTACTGGCTACAAACTTTGTATAGGCTCCCTAAGGACTTGCCAGGTATTGTTCCCCATTGCCTTTAAAGGTGTATTTTTGGCCCGTGTTTGCATTAAGGCTCTCGCATTGCGCCACGTTTTCTTGTCCGTCCCACAGCTTTGGCGAAAAGACAATTCCTAACATCCTGGAATGTCATAACACTTGTTAAGCACACAAACAAACCAACACAACACTCAAGCAGAACTCACCATGCCATAAGTAATACCATTCAGCGCTCATGCTGTTATGTTTATTTATTTTTTTTGAGTCGACGGGAGATTTCAGATGCTTGGAGGAAGATAAAAGAGAGAATTCTTGAATATTTGCTCCCATGTTTTCACTTTCTCAGCCCATTTATGCTCAGTCTGCACATAAAACAAGATATATTACAGAAATGTCCTTGAATTTTATATATATATATATATATATATATATAAATCCCTCTAGTAGCTATCGAGTTTCTCTGCAATGTCTTTACATGATCTCTAGGCTCGATCCCTTTTATGAGGTAGTAATCGGAGTCTTCTCGTTGTTCTGGACTCTTTTAAGTTTGACCCTTGTCTCCCCATACGCTTGACACCCTGGTCATGCCACTGCAACAGGTGTCTGAGCACAGCTACAGGACCATGCACAGAGACAGACATGAGTTGAGTGGGTGGTGGAGGAGCTGATTTGTGCAGCAGTCGGCCAGCAAACTGTTCCTGTGGGATTGATCTCCGTGGAAGGATAATCTGGGTAATCCTATAACTGGCGCCGGTGGACTCCGCCTCCTTTTTGCTATGCGGTGCCGCACCCCCCTGGCAGTACCAACTTGAAAACGGCTCCTCCTTCTCCACATGGAGCCTTTCCTTTCTGTTTTCTTCTAGAAAGTGTTGCGATTTGGGATCAGCTGAAGCACGCACAATTTGTTTTTTTTTGTTTTTTTGTGTTGTTTTTTTTTGTTGTTTGTTTTAGGCATGTGGCACCCTGCCTCTTTACCTGCAACCGGAGGCAGCCCTAGGAGGGAAATGGGTTTCGGTCACTGTGAGTAGCAGTAACTGGATTTTTTTTTCTTGTTGTTTTGTGTTTGCACATCTTTAAATAAGCCTTTTCATTTTAATTTAAGTTGCATTTATCATGTCCGACTGTGGATTTTTTTAAATTATTTTTTAATGGCTCACTTCATATCTACTATTTGTCAGTGAGGATAATTTCCATTGTTGCAACTTAATCTTTCTAGTGTTAATGTACCCAAGCCCACATTTGTGCTTTTTAAACCATCGAATAATTTTAACCAGTTGTGACAGCTACAAGGCTTTGCTGTTTCCTGCTAGAATTGAGAGCTTGTGACTCACTTGAGGTCTCACATGTGTTCAGCAGGGATGTCACTCAACCTTAAAGGACGCTTCCAGCTCTCGTTGCCTTGTCCTTCACTATCTGTTTAACTCTCAACACTTGTCCCTTCCTATTAGTCCCTTTCCATCGTGGTTTGCCTATGCTGTCCGTCACCCTGTGTCCGTCTATCGGTGCGTGAGCGTCGCTGCGCATATTTCCTGAGATTAGGGCGGGATGTGTCCGAGTCGACTCACTGGGACGCGCCGCCCTGTTTAT